CCCCAAAACCCCAAAACCCCAAAACCCCAAAACCCCATAAGCTTGTAGCAAAATTGCAAATATTTATAATAAAATGAAGACTTCAAGCAAACAAGGGCTGTTCAACAACTTCTTAGTCAGGGAAAGGATGAAGGAGGAATACCTGGTATGACATTCTATTAGGAATTATGCTGAATGATATGATAGGTACCTGAAAAAGTATAAAAACAAATATCTACAGGCATGAGAACTCATCAAAGGTCATAAACAAAGACTTGAATACTTTCATGAAGAAGCCAGGTAGTTTTACTTTATGACCCTAGGTCTCTATTTGATACAGGATAAGTTGAAGACAAATATGACATGTCCACAGAAGAAATTGGAGACTTTTAATACTCACAGATTCAACAAAATGAGCAAAATTTCTCCAAAAAGACTTAAGAAGCATAAGTTGATTATGAATAAAAGGCACTGTAAAATATTAAATCTCCAAGGCTTGATGATGAAAAAGCGAGGAAGGAGCAGACGTCTTTTGGATAAGCATAAGCATCCTTATTTCAAATCACTAAAGGATCATAAATAAGTTGATCATTGAACCAACCCATAGTTTGAGTACAGAGCGATATTACCCCAAAAAGTAAGATAAAGTAAATCTGCATAAAAATTCCCGATAATTTGCTTATTTTATGTAGAGAATATAAAGACAAACATTTCATTAGAGACATCTTGACAGATAGAGATGACAAAGAACACAGCCGAAATGTAGAAGACTGACAGATCGGAAACTTTAGGTACGATTTCAAGACTTTGTACAAAACTTAGCCGTTATTTTTAATGTATTGATAACTATTTCTGGGCACTTCCTCAGTAATTATATTGCCAATATCTTTGCTCTTACTACATTTCTCATATGTACAGTTTATCAGCAACACAAGTTGGATGATCTCAGAGAGATAGAACAAGTATCGGCCAATACCAAACCTTCAGTACAAATCTTAAAATATGAGGGCGTGGCATCAAAGACGTTAAAGATCAGATAAAAGATTACCAAAAGAAGATCGAATTCCAAAAATGTAAACTCTCCATGACCCAAATAGTTAAAGAGTTATCTAACTCAATGACAGAGAATGATAGAGGGATTTCACGGCTTCATAGATTGCTTCTTGATACTTCTAGGTTATTAGAGCCGAAAATAAAAACACCAGGTAGAAGGAATATCAACTTTGCAGATCATGGAGAAAGAAATATTGTATTCTCTTCAACAGGAATATCTAAGATGATCTTTCAATAGCTCCAGCAAGGCCAGGGGTTTTGGGGTTTTGGGGTTTTGGGGTTTTGGGGTTTTGGGGTTTTGGGG